AATGTAAATCTTCATCACTTCCAAATATTTCTAATAAATCTTTACAACCGTTGCATCTTCAATTCATAGAGAGTCATTCTTTTCGTCATAATGAGCTTAGAAATCTTTAAAAGTTTTATTTCGAATGCTTTAAAATCGCTTGCTCGGTCGCAACTGGGATGCGTCACTGCAACACAATACCGATAAATCTTTTTCTGAAATTCACAGGCAACGGAAACGCGGTTCTGAACGTCAACAACTAGTAAAAAATCAGCTACTGAATGCAGCACAGAATTTCAGTTTCACAAGTTAGGAATATTCCTATGATACACATCACGCGCTTTCTCCGCAGTTTAATTGAAACATGCTATATTCTTTTAATCATTTCTCCCTAAAGCGCAGCTCCAATACGCCGAATAGAGCTTCGAAATCTAGCCTTTGGTCTTCGGAAAGAGTCTGAAGGATATCCGCTGCGTCTGCTTTCAAAAAAGTGGCGAGATGACAGGCCTTAGTTTGAGAATCCCATTCATTCGCTTCTGCCACTATAGAAAATTTTGTCTTATATATTTACCAAGAGTTCTTCCCATTATATGGGAATAACGTCAGAGAGGAACGAGCAGGTATGGGTAAAAATTTAAAACCATCAGAATTGCTTCCTGCCGTCGCTACGAATTTCTGTACGGTATTAACTTTCTTGGCGACCGCAGAAACCATGTCATCAATTTGTTGTTCCAAGGTAGAAATTCTCTTTTCTATTTGTTCTTTGACAGAAGAAACTCTGTAATCGATTTGTTGTTCCATGGCCGAAACTCTCTTTGCAATTCGTTCTTCAACAGAAGAAACCTTTCTTCAGTTTGTCCAACTTTATTTTCAATAGCGTCTATTCTGCCTTCCATAGCCTCAAATTTATTTTCTGTTATGCACGTAATTTCTCTTTCCATTTCTTCTTGACCTGCTTCAATCTTTCTTAACCAGCTTCCATATTTCTTCGAGGGCTTTCATCTCTTTTATAACGGATCTTTGACGACTTTCATCTCTGGTTTAACGGAATCTTGGCCAGCTTTCATCTCCATTTTAACGGAGTTGACGGTACTTTCGATCTTTTCTTGGAATGCAGCAAATATAATCATCAACTGTCTTTGTTGCCCATCCATGGCTTTTTTCACAGGCATTCAATGCCACTTCCCTAACACCAAAACATTGATGATTTCTACGCAGTACAGTTTCTCACCATAACTACAGATATGCTGTACAGTGCTGTTCACAACATTGTCTCTTGACTGCAGGTATTGTTAATGAATGACGGCCGACATGTTGAACATTTGTTATAAAGAATATAGTTGAATGTAGCGATGCGATGCGGATTAATAACAAGCAGCAATGGACTCATTCAAATGCAATTTTATTTTCAAGCCAAAAAAAAAGTTGTGTTGCGATTTCAGCTAACATAAACAGAACATCTGCTCTCGACTCCAAAGCACGAGTAGTCACGTGGTTGACTTAATCAATCTGCGTTCGCAATAGCAGCGTCATTTACGCTGCTATTGCTATTAAAGTTAAATTTAATAATAACACTATAAGAGCTTCAAAGGAAAATGCAAGATAACCTGAAAAATTGTAAGAAAATATTAGACAAAGCATAAATAAAAGTTATAAATAATCAAACTTGATAGTGTAAAAAGGGCTAATATCCTAAAGAGTTCAAAGTTCATAGTGTTTGACAGGCAAAGGACAGAGCTTAACAATAGGTCTTTTAATTTCTCCATTGGCAGTTCGAATATCCACAACTCGAACTTTGTTATCCGATCCTGGATATACACGGATTATTCTACCCAATTTCCACTGAAGAAGTGGTATGTTTGTATCCTTAATCAGTACTAAAACGTTGACAGACATATTTTCGTGAGATTTCTTCCACCTATTTCGATGTTGTAACTTAGACAGATATTCTCGACTCCATTTTCTTCAAAAGTTTTGGAAAATTAGTTATCTCAGTTTCCATCGATCAACAATATTTTTCGGTTCTTCTAAATTTTCTTCGGGCAATGATGTGAGACATGTGCCAATGAGGAATTGTCCAGGTGTGAGAACACTAATGTCAAGAATTTAGATTTTACAGAAGATTCCCAAAGTCGACCAAAATGTGTTGCGGCTGGAGGAATGAACATAGGATGTCTTGGAGTTTCCAAAACATTTGAATTCCTTAATCGTCCTCCAGCACGAATAATTTCTCTTTCATCAAGGAATGGACTTAAGGAAAGTATTCGGCTGTTCCGATTTCACAGAATTTCCATTCTTTAAGCTTGAAACCTCGTCAGGAAATTCAGAATGTTGTAAAATTCTTATTATCGTACAACTCGCATTATTAAGCTCTTCACTGTCAAGAAATCCTGTTTTCTTAGAAGTGCGCTTCAAACAACTGTTGATAAATCGTAAACAATAAGCAACGAAACAGTATAATTTTATCCAAGATGAAAATTTGAAAAGAAAGGAGTCATCATCAACTTTAGCTAAATTAGAAATAATGCATTTTCTTTCTTCCTTAGCTACTTTTTGACTGTCCAATTCCATTTGTTCATCCAATACAGATTCCGGATTAAAATTCTGTAACCACGAAGGTCCATTGAACCATTGATCACATTTAGTCAATTCATTAGGTTATAATACTCTAGTACCATAACCAGCAGGATTATTTCCCCCTTGAACGTGATTCCATTTCACCTCAGGAATGACAGTTTGAATTTTCGACACTCGATTGGCTACGAAAGGAAGCCATCTCCGTGATTCAGATACAATCTAAAATAAAGTCATAGTAGCGTCATCTACAAAGTTAATCTACAAATTCTGATCATGCAAAACAATTAATAGCACGAACATTCAAGCATGTCATCTTTATCTTGAGTAGATTTGCTAGCAATAGTGCAAAACATAGTTCTAGTCGTGGTGAAGATTGCGTTTTAAGTGGTTGCAACTCTTGTTTTTGCCCATATCAATGATACCTTACTTTCTTCTTTAGAAAACGATTCAGCATAAATAACTGCACAATAAGCCTTCTCAGATAAATCGCAAAAGGCATGTAACTCTATCTTGCAATGATTATTAATTAAAATCATTCTAGAAATTTTTAAATTGCGAAACGAGTTTAACTCTCCTTGAAAACGAGTCCAAATGGTCGATCGTTGCGGATTAAGAGTTTCATCCCAATCTAACTTGTCAGCCCACAAGTCTTGAAAAAATATTTTTGTAAAAATAATAACTAAAGCTAACCAGCCTAAGGGGTCAAAGAGTCTGGCAACTTCTGATAGCACATTCCTTTTAGTGACAACTGAAATTACAGAAGGTGGAATGTTAAAATTAAATGTGTCACTTTGGGAATGCCAGTTTATTCCTAACACCTTTCTTGATTGTTCCTTGAAAATGTCTAACTGAAATGCATTTTCTCTGAGCTCTTGTGGTATTCTTGTGGTATTCTAACACACCAGGCATGTTAGATGATCTTTCCGAAGCATGAAGCATCCTTTACGCATAAGATTATCTATGTCATGTATTTTTGGCAGCAGTTCTTGGTGCTGCACCTTTTAAAAGATCATCCACATAAAAATCAGATTTGATAACTTCCGAAGCCTTTGGAAAATCATTATTTTTTTTTATTATTATTTTATTTTTAACTAGTTCTAACGGTTTTTTTTTTTTTCGTTCTAAAAGCAATTTAACAGGTATTCTCATAATTATCCAATGTTAAAACTACGTTCATTGACATTTACCCTACATTCTTATGAAAATTAAATCGTAATTCTTTATAAGGTAATTTTTCATTCGTTTGAAATATTTTTCGTTAATTTTAGAAAAGGAAGTAAAATAAATTCTCTAAAATTAATTAAGTTTTAATATTATGCTTATAAAATGCTACAGCTATGTAAGTGTATTAACATATTCTTGCATTGTCAGTCATATTTAAGTGTCGAAACTTATATATGGAACTTATAATATGGAAACTTATAATTTTTGAAATCCGTAATGCATTGGAAATTACTAAAATAAATATATATTGGAATGTAGTGATCGAAACCGCTACGCAAACCCTTGGTTGTGACACCGGGTCGAAATGAACTTCTAACTCAAGTTTTAACAATAACATGAATTTTAATAAGATGAACACTTTAATAGTTGCATATCTTGACAATATGGGACTTGGATATAATTAGTACTGTAATTTCAGAATTTTGTTACAGGAAAAATGCTTTAACGCATTATACACTAAGGCCGATATCACACGGAGTTTGTTTCACACGAACAACTGTTTCAGACAATTTTTCTGCCTGATTTACTATTGAAAGACGTGCGACTTTTTCCTTCCTTTCCAAAAAAATTATAAGTTGTTCGTTTTCAGCCAATCAGCCATCAGCTTCGAATACTATCAACTTGTTTGTAATGGGGAACCATTTTCCCCTGTGTTAACCGCAAAGCGATCTACTGTGATTGGCTGTTGTGACAAAGCAGAAAAATTGTTCCAAACAGTTGTTCTTCCGAAACAAACCGAAGTGTGATAGCAGCCAAAGAATGATTGTTCTTAGCAAGCCAATATGACCATAGCTCTAAACAGGAAAAAATTCCCTCTTCTCAGGAAACCACCTTATATATCTCCCTGTGTTTACTTGCGCTGAACTCCCGGGGGGGAGATTCTGTCACTCATACATAACAAAGTGTCCATCTCCTGACCTGATGAAAAGACTTCTTTTATCTCTTTGTCCACTGGAGTGACCTTCGAGGCTACATCCGGAATCATTAACAAAGGCACAGGATTTCACCACTGATATGAAAACTTTTGCCCTCTAAAATCACTCACCCTCGACAAAGAACCTTTATGCCACCTTATCACAATATAAATACAAGTTTAAGATTAAATGTTCGAAAGTTATTTAAGTTCTCTTTTTCCAAATATAACTTTAGTGATAATTGATTAAACTAGAATAATATGAAAGGTATATATCAAGTAAAAATTTATCATAATTATCTTGCAGGAACAGCTTTGATGCAGCTGGTGGAGGTACATAAAGAAATCCATGCTCAACAAACAAACATAGTAAGAATATTTTTGCATTTTGATTTTACTATAATAGTGCGTTAATTGAATTTTTTTTTATCTTTTAAAATAATTTTTGATAATGACATATTTTGTGTCATTTTTTGAAATATAATCATTACTTAAATTTCAAGTAGAAATTTATTATTATATCTTTATATTTAATTTATTAAATGATAGTTAAATATTAGTTTATCAGACTAAAATCAGTATAAATAGCTGATCAGACTTAAATGGTTTTCAGAATGAAAGTAAACTGCAGCTACAAAATATTTAGGCAGAAAAACATAGATTAATTAAGTTTACCACATAATTAAGTTTACCACACAATGTTTTATCTAACGTCTTCTGGGCCGTATAGTGATTTATAATATATTACTTCAGAACAGACATTTCGAGACATATTCCCCTTTCCGGCTTGATTCATGACTATGGTAAAGACAATTGTGGAAGATGCTCTATTCCCCTACTTTTTTCGCTACCCGTTTAGGGAGTTTTGCTTTATGAAACGAACAAGAATGAAGGTTGACTTTAACTACAATCCCACAAGGTGGAGAAAATAAGTGTTATGCTGTGACGACGACACGCATTATTATCGCAAATGACGGAAGGCAGTAAATTTTGAAGTGCTAATTTTAAAGTAACATATTACAATATAATTTGTCTGCTAGTCAGAGCTCCAGGATGTGGGTTTGACTCCCGTCTAAAGCTTGATTTCATTTGTGTGTGCCTTTCCCTTCTTCTTACACGTACAGTATGAGTCTCCTATCCGTGATGCACCATGGAGAACATTCGGTTATGAGAATCTAAACAGACCAATGGTATTCCACCGTACCCCACGAACTGCTTCTGAGCAAGAGTCTGGCCTTAACGAAAAAAATATGTTTTGTGTAACTAAAATAAAGGGTATCATGATCGTATTACAGGGTGATCAGCGAATAAGCCCTGATTTCAAAATTAAATATCTCTACAATAAAGTTCGATAGAATTATGCAGTAAACTGTACGTTAATTAGCAAAACTGTAAAAATAGTGTACAAAAGTTTAGAAAATTTAGTTACGAAAGTCGTTAACAGATGGCGCTCTAATCGCAATGACCTATCAATAGCCTTTAAAAATGGGTTTTGAATTCGAAAGTGATCAGTGCTAGTGTTGGCTAGTGAAAAAAGGCTAGCGTAGAAAGTGAAATAATGTATTCCATTGAACAACATGTTTTCTTGGTTCTGCAATTTCACCAATGAGAACACAGTCCTACGGCAACACGTCACAGTTTTCAAAACCGATTCAATGTTCAGTTGAACCCGATGCGAAACCCATTCGTATGCACTTCGCGAAATTCGAACGAACTGGCAGCGTGGCTGATGATTGAAAGGGAAATGTTGGGCCTAGGCAAACTGTAGTCACTCCTGAAGATGCAGCCAAAGTTTCTGGAATTGTAAAGTAAAATCCTAGGAAAAGCATCTGACGGGTTGCATCAGAGACAGTTTTGAAGTACACGAGCACGAAAAAAATATTAAAAAATAGCCTACAACTGTTTCCATACAAAATCCAAAGTTTTGGAGATTTTGAGGTTCCGAAAATCCTCATTCGTGTGAAGAAAAAGCACTGCATTCGCCTAAAGTTACTGCATGGGCTGCGGTATGCGCCAGAGGCATTATCGGACCCTTTTTCGTACGAGAAACGATAGCTATTGAACGTTACGTTACAATTTTGGAACAATTTGTCAGCACTCAACTAGCGTTGGAGGATCGACCAGGTATCGACTGGTTCATGCAAGATGGGGCTCGACCATATCGAACAGATAAAGATTTTCGCTTTCTTCATGAATACTTTGGGAATGGAGAAATTGCATTAGATTATCCGCAATTTACTGACACAGGAATAGCTTGGCCACCATATTCTCCCGATCTGAGTCCTTGTGGCTTCTTTCTGTGGGGCGCATTAAAAGACACTGTCTATCGAAACAATCCCGCTACTCTAGATGAAGTTGAATCGTTGATTGGTGTTGCATGTGATTCCATTTCCGTTGAGAAACTGCAAGACGTGATGTCAAATTTCATTGTTCGCCGCCTCATTGTTTCGAACGGTGACCATTTTGAAAAAATTGTATTTTGATTTCAAAGGCTGCTTCACTTTATTTATTTATTTTTTACTCTTTTCAGGGAAAGAGTTTTCAGCGCAGAGCGCCATCTGTTCACGATATTTGTAACTGATTTTTCTAAACTTTTGTACCCATTTTTACAGTTTTGCTAATGAACGCACAATTTACAGCATAATTCTCTCGATCTTTGGTGTAGAGATGTTTAATTTTGAAATAAGGGCTTATTCGCTGATCACCCTGTATATAGTGTAAATTTAATGCTTAATTAAACAAGTAAATGTAAATGCTTAATTTAAAACAAGTAAATGTAAATGAAAAAGATAATGCACTCTTTATAATTTTTTTTCCGTGTACACAGTTCCGTATCATATTTTCCTCCCTCACTGCTACTAGTAGCTTTAGAACTGAAATTTATTCATCGAGGAGCAAAAAATACAAGTGGATAAATAGTAATTCAACTTTTTCTTCATTTATTGCTGGTATTTAACTATGATTATAATTACGTAGAAAATCTCAAAAAATTGCTTTGAAGTTTTTAGTTTTTGCAAATTTATGTTCATTGAACATCTTAAAACCGAAAACAATATTTCATAACCATCTATATGTAGTTCTTTTGTAATTTTTATAAATTTAATTTACACTACATTCTAATGCGTAAAATAAAATGTATGAAAATACCTTTTCTCATAAAATGCAACATGAAGCATGGAAATATTACTATCGTCTGCGGAAGAGATATTACAAGAAAAGCGAAATAATTGAGTAGAATGGAGTAAATAAATATATTGGATAATCGGAACTGCCGAAGATTCGATTATTAAAATATATTCTTTAAAGGGCAATGAAATCAATATGCAGTTTCATCCTTTTACACCTTCTACAATAAAACTATTTCATAAGAAACCAGTAAGAGACGCAATATACTGCATAAAAATTACTAAAGTTAAATATATAGTGATTAATATTAAATACTTAATAGCTACTGTCAGATATCCGTATTGTGCTCTCGCTTTGCAATAGATGGGAAAGCTATGTCCGTCCATGATAATTTTTTGGCTCTAAATCCCAGAAAAATGAGTCAAAGATTGCATCTTTTATTATGTTATAAGGTATTTTCTCCCTCCTTTCAGCATGCTTTCGTAGAGTCGAGAGCGTCGGCGTTTGAATCACGATGAGGGCATAGCAGACTTCTTCAGTTTCCTAACAAAGAAAAAACACTAAGATGACTCAAAAGTGGCGCCCGAACTAAATAGATGGTGGACGATAATTCGTCAACACCAGGATTTGACGACTGAGTGGCCTAATGCTCAGTCGCCATTTAAAGCAGAGAGTATATGAGTTATTTTCTCCCTCTTTTTTGCACGTCTTCGTGGTGCAACTGTAACGTATATTCGATGACGCGTATTTGGAAGATCCAGAGTTCAGATCCCGGCGATTGCACTGCACAGTTTACATGTTTCAGCATCGATATAACCTAATTATTGAACAATGTTATTCGGTATTTACATCGTTAGATGGCAGTTATGTTCAACACAGAATATTCCATGTTAGGTCCAATGATTGTTACATAGAGAGGTTTACATGGTGCCTTCTAAGCCAATTTCAATACAGCACCCATAAAATTCGTATTTAGTACAGCCATTCCCGATTGTTTCTCTTTGTGTGTTGTAGTCTTTTTAGGATAGCTAAACATAGGAAAAGGAATTGCTCATATTTTTTAAACAGGGAAAGAAGTACTTCATTATGTAATGAATACTTAAGTGAAAACAGTGGTAACTGTCTTAATACAGACTCTAAAGAACGTTGTATGCAGATTCGGAAAATTCTTTCAGTGGCAAAATACTGCAGAAAATCGTCCACTAAAAACACCTATATCTTATATATGTTCAATATTTCTTATCGTCAGATTGGCAACACTAAGCCTTCGACAAAAACAATGATTTTCTGTCTGTATTATTCTATATCTAAAAAATGTAAATAAATATTAATCTTCTTGGAATCAGAACGGTGTTTAACATTTCCTATGTTCCAGACTTCCACACTGGTTTACACGGATGCGATCCAATTCAACTTATGAAGCGTAAGATAGAAAAAGAACGTATGGTGTTTCTGTAATATAACGAGATGCCATTGAGATTATACGCACTTTATAAATATTCACCTGTTATCGAATATACGTTACGGAAAGCGTCGTAACTTACCCATATTTAAAATTACGCAGTTTTTTTTCTGAGTTCGACAGTGGATTGAGTGATAGTTTCGATTTCGAAGTGCTTCTGGTGCGCATGGATTACATCAGGAATTGATGTTTCGATTGTTTTTATGCGTCTATGAAATATAAATTCCGAGCGTACGTGGAACTGAAATACTTCTAAAAGCCAAAATTAATAGAAAGAGTTCTAAAAGAGTTATTTCAGTTTTAAAAGAGTTCTTTTCAGTTAGTGTTCTATATTGCAATATGTCTTCAGCGGTATAATGTATGCAATTAGAATTTTCAGAATGCATCAAATGTGTTAAGAGTAAATTAACTCGTTTTTACTAAGCAAACTTTAGCCGGAAAAGCTTAAGCTATAAAAAAATAAAAAATTGGATAAAGGTAGCTGTACTTTCGTTAAGCCTAATTCTACTATGGCTGAAGGAGATGAAAGTAAACAAACCGAAACTAATGCAACTTCTGCGACTGTCGCCAAGGTCAGCATCCAAATTCCTCCTTTTTGGAAACTTGACCCCAAAATATGGTTTCTTCAGATAGAAGCCCAATTCCGCAATGTTGGAATTACGACTGATAAAACAAAATGCGATTATGTAATCAGTTCTATTGAAACAGGGACATTATAATAAATCTCTGGTATTCTCACCAAACCACCAGATAACGGCAAATATCCGGCCATTAAAAAGAG